AAATCACATTCATTCAGTTTTTTCCAACAATGAGTTGCTCCTTCATGTCCTTGCATCAACTTAACACTCAAATTAAGTGAATTTATCATTAAAGGAACCATATTTATTATATATATATAATATAATATATATAATGAATATATATCAATGTCTGTTTGGCTTCACTCATTATAATTTAACTGAACCGATTACGAGATAAACGTTTATAAAACTAAAAACTCTGCGTCTGCCTTCATATTCAAGCGACAGCATTAAATATTATAAAGGATATGAGAGCGCACACACACACACACACACACACACACACACACACTTACATACAGTACACGCACATACAAGAGATATAACACAGATAAGATACACACACTGATTCACACATATTCCTCTTGTTCCTCGATATGTTTCGATTAGAAATCCTCGTCTAAGAGCACAAAACCATTAAAAAGTGCAGTGAGAGCTGAACAGTGAGCACTTTAATGTGGGAGGGGTCTCTCTCAGGTAGGGGGGGGGCGTTCAGGCTCTGTCCTCGACCTCCGTCAGGGGCCCCTCCCTCCCTTCCTCCCGCCGCCGCGAACAGACTCAACCTTCAACGCGCCAGGTCGGTGTGGCTGGCACTCAGGTCGCGACTTTTCTTCAGACGATTATTTCGTTCCTGCAGTTTGTGAGAAGAGATTAAAGAAAGAAGAAGCGTATTAGCTATTATTTTGTGGCGTTACGGGTTAATAAAAAGCGTAAAGTGTGTATTGTTTCTGCACTAGGTGGAAGTTAATCCTCGATGCTATCAGAGTTTAGGCTAACGTCACCAGTCTGTGCTGCTTTTTAATGGTTATGGTCAAGATTTGTATTTATTTGTTTAGTAATGTGCTCATTATTTAGGCTACAAAATGTCATAAAATACTTAAAAAAACGGTCTTCAAATAGCTTATTTTGTCCATGTAACAGCCCAAAAACTCAAAGATATTTAATTTTAAAGTATATAAAAGCAGCAAAACCTCATATCTGAGAATGAGAGAATACAGTATTTTTTTTGTTTTGCTTAATAAATAAGAATTAATTCATCAGAGGGTTTAACATTTGCAGCTCTGTTCTGCTTTTCATTGCATACAGGCAATTACTTTAGTAATCTACTGATTATTTAGGCAAAAAAAATATGAGAAAATACTGAAAACTGCACACAATTTCTCATATCTTGAGAGCTTGATTCAAACATAAACAGGTGGCTGGGATTCATTTACTATATTAAAATTGTACTGTAACAAACACAATAAATCATAAGGATAATTTAATCACACACTACAAACAACATGTGTTATTTGTTATCTATTGCAAGCAGTTGTCAGTTTGTGTTAAATCACAAATACTCGATATTATAGAGAAATATTTACTCAGGAACTTTAAATACTTCACTTATATTCAGTGTGTGGTGACTAAACTATAGTTAAAGTGTCTAAAACATTATTCCTCTCTGTTAATAATTTGTGTTGATGAGTTAAAAATGGTGTGAAGTTAGTTGTGACTCATAAAGGAGGAGAAACCGTTTATAAAGACATGAGAGTGAAAAAGAAAAGACTCAAAAAGTATCTGCAGAAACGTTTGTTTTAACCCTCTCGGTAAACCCGGTTCTTTAAATGTCTTTAAATCTACTTTACATGTATTTAAAGATAAAGTAACCTGGTTAAAGTCTCTAACAATGATTAATTTGGATTATCTATTAGTCTGCTGATTATTTCTGACTTCAAAATATCAGAAAATGCTAAAAACTCCAGTTTCTTACAAATTGTTTATTTTATCCAACCAACAGGACAAAAATCCAAAAATATTCAACAAACAATCAGAGAAAAGCAGCAGATTCTTGTATTTGAGAAGCCGTAACGAGAGAATATTTATCATTTTTGCTTGATAAATGACGATTAATTGATCATAAATACATTAATATTCTGTCTGTTATCTGACTTTATCTTAATGTGGAATAAAAACTGATTAAATTCTTATTTCCTACAAATGTTAAATGCAAATAAAGCTCAATAAACACAGACTGGGAGCCTTTCTGGTGGTTGAAAGGGCAAAGTTCCCTTTCGATAACCTTTGATAACCAGCAGGGTTAAAGACAAACTGAGGTCCCGACACTCGGTCTCCTTACTTGGTAGTGGTCACTCACAGCCTTGTCCGCCACGTTAAGAACCCCCAGAGAGCTGGCTCGCTTCATGCTGCACCCAGAGCAGTGACATGCAGAGGGGGGGGAGGTGGTGGTGGTGGGGTCAGAGGTCAGAGGTGAAGGGGGGGTGGAGAGTTTAGCTCAGTGGAAATGGTGGTAAGGTATGTGTTGGTTAATGACATCCATGTTTTCACACACAGTTAGTTTCACAATAAATGTTTCATTTGTTTTTTTTTACGTCGACACATTTTTCTTTCGGAGATTTAGATTAAATATATTTAATTATAATATTTAAATGTAAAATGTTTGGTACCACTTTCTAATTCGAGATTCTCTCTAATGAAAAGTTTATCTGGATAAAGAAAGAAGAAGATGAACACCAGGTTTGTTCTCTTCTGATGCTTTCTTTGTTTCATTAATTTAAACCACTTGGATTAAATAACTGACCTCCGACCCGTCTACAAAAGTGCTGCTAAATATTTGCAACAAAATACATTTAATTAATTGATTAATTATAATTATAGAGATCTTCTACACTGTTGTGAAAAGTCTCTCTTCTAGTACTTTTTGTCTTATTAGCTTATTTAACTTAAATCGACTATCTGACCTCCGACCGCCTGGAAAACAGCTGCTTTTGCATTCGGAACCAATTTAATAACAACTTTTTAATTTTACAATTTGTTGTAAAAACCTTTTTGTAACATTTATAATTAAAGATGACTTCCTGACGTTTGCTGTAACAAACAAATACTGGATGACTTATTTTATTTTTATTGATATTAACGACTCTAAAGACCTTTTTCACAACATGGCCACCTATAATTAATGGCCCGTAACTGATCATTAATATATTAATTTATTACTAATAAACTATTAATGAAGTTATTATAAAAGGTTCCTGATCAGAAAGTGGTACCAACAGTTATTTAAAGGTAATCAGTCTTTTACTGATCAGCTGTAAGTGGTGTAAACTGATATTTATAGTCAGTAAAGTTCATGCAAACACAAACATTCATGCCTCAAAAAAAAGAACCCAGTAAGTTGAGTTTCAGTAAAGCGACACTGCAGAAAGTCCATCAACAAGAAATGTGTTTTTAACCCTGAAACAAAGATTAAAAATAAGTTTTTCTTTAGAAATAAAAACCACCAAAAGCATTACGACTTTTGTCAAAAAATATTACAACTTTTTTCTCGTTTTACATCTTTATCTTTTTCCTGACAATATTATGACTTTTACTCAAAATATGACTTTTCTTATCAAACTTTTTTCATTAAATATTACAACTTTTCTTAAGATATTAGGATATTTTTCAAACTTTTTACTCTAAATCTTACAACAAAAACCACCACAGGTAAAGAATCTTTAATCAACTTTGTTGGTGGATAGTTTGAATCACCTGATATGAATTTAATGGTTATGTGGAAGTTATTTTCATTATTAGTTAATATGTTTTCATATTATATCTTCATCTAAATCTGACTTCACTTTCCAGGAAGATGCAAAAAATAAGTTTTAAATAAAGAAAACGTGCGACTGGATCTTTGAAAGTTTTCCTTCCAGTTGAACCTGTCAGAGCAGATCTTTAAGGACTTGTTAAAAATGGAGATTTCTGCAGTGGTTCAACTTTACTGAGAACCGTCAGATCGATGATGAAGGTGAAGATGAAGATCATCTTAAGGAGCCACCGAGAAGAGCAGCACAGAAAGGAAAACAGAAACCAGTGAGCACACAGATGAGGCATGCAAACAAACATTCAAATGAAAATATTTATTCATAAATAAAAAATTCAACACAGCATAAAAGTTCTAAACCAACAGCCATGCAAACACGTTCGTTTCATCCAGAGTTCATAAAGAAAAACAATAAAAATCCAAAGCAGAGTAAAGTAAAATTTTGAACTATATTTCAAAAACAATTTGAAATAAATAGCCCAAAGCCACAAAATGCAATAAATAGTTGTAACTATTAGTGGTTAAAACAAAAAGTAAAATGAGTTCCACAGAGCATGAAGAGCTTTTTAAAGCAGACATTAGTAGTTTGTGTCGTTGCAGATGCTTTTCCACACAAGTAGTTGCATTATTTTCCCATTTCATCAACACCGTCCTGCACACGGACCGCACGCCGCCTCCTTTGGTTTAATACTTTATTATATGTTCAGGTTTGGTTACGGTGGAATATCGGGACCACTGAGTTCAGTATGAAGATATTACAGCTTTATTCCCCCTCAGAATATTACATCTTCACTTTTACTCTGAAAATAGTTTCACTTTTTATTGTGAGATTTGTGTTTTTCCAAATATTTTCTCAAATATTGGATCTTTCTACTCTCAAAATATTGATATTTTCTTGAAATATTGATATTTTCATGAACTATAACACCTTTTTTCTGAAGATGTAATGACCTTAAAATATTAAATATTTCTAGAAATATTTTGACTTTTATCTTAATATATAAAAGTTTTCTCAAACTATTGCTGCTTTTTCCTCACAATAATGCATCTTTATTTAGTTTTTTCCCAAACAGTGGCCCCAACACTCCCCGACAACCAAACTCAACTGAGCAGGTAAGTTCGTCAGTGTTCAGCGGCGGCGTGAGAACAGGGAGGTGAACCAATGCAATGGGAATAAAAGGACAAATGTGTATGTGCCAGTAGAAGCTCCCTCCGTCATTTCATGTGCAAACACAGCTTAAGAGTTACACCACTTCACCACCAGCAAAGTAGAGCGAATCCCTTCTTTTGTTTTTTTGGTTAGTACGCCAGCCGCCGAGCTGAGGGCTGGAGGTGCCGGCTCGTTCCTCCAGTGCATAAAGTGAGAGTCGCCTGTCAGTCGGGTGTCTGTTGGGATAGTTACCCGGGGTTTTTGGGCTCGCTGTCTCGGGACGAGCCGCCGCCTTTCAGCTTGCGGACGAGTTTCTCGCTGCTGCGGCGGATCGACGCTCGCAGTTTACTGAAGGAGCCGCTCCTCTTCAGAGAGCCGGAGCCATCCTGATGGGAGACGTCACAGGGTTACACTCGTTCACACGCTCTCTCCTTTCCAACACAAACAGAGAGTGAATATACTGACAGTACACTGGAGTCAGAAGACTTCGAGTATCTTATGGCCCAAATCAGTTGTTCCCAACCTCGGGGTCGCAAGGCTTCTTGATTTTAATAATATACACAGTAGAACGATATCTCAGCATTTTGTTAATAATTTCTGTGAAGAAAAGTAAATGAAATTGTTCTAGTTGATATTACTGTTTATCTAAACTTTGAAGACCTGAACATAAGCTTTTACACAATTAAAACAAGAGAAATGTATAAAAAGTTCCTGAAAAAAATATGTTTTACATAAATTCCATTAAATGTTTCACTTAATCAGTTTGAGCAACGATCCCTTAAAGGAAAAGGTTGGGAACCACTAAGTTAAAAGATGAAATACTGTATTCAGAGTACAGTTAGTCTGCAGGGATTTTTTTGGGCCATAATATGTAAAGAATTCTGGGTCTTCAAACGCTGGTCAAACACCAACATACACACAAACACAAGTGCATCATCTGTGCAAATGTTCATGTGCATACACGATGCAGTAATGCAGATTCTCACTCGTTTAACTTCCATACAGCACACCTGTGGTACACCGATCCACACAGGTGATTCTGTTGCACCAGCGTGGGCATTTAATTTAATGTTTCCTATTAAACTGTAGGAGTGGAAAAGGAGCTCAGCCTCATTTCTCCCTGAACACAAACTGAGTGAGGCTGCATGGAGACTTGTTATCTGTGTCTAACGCCTACTCTAACACCTCCCTGTCAGCCTGGATCTTTAAACAGAGGGAGGAGGTGACGGTATCTTCTCTGACAGTCAGAACTGGGTTTTGACTTTGTGTAAAACATATTGACTGATATTGAAGCTGAGCATGATGGGAACTCACAAAAATAATGGACCAGTACTTCTGTGAAATCTAAAATCATCTCACAGGCAGAAGGATTCAAACCTTTGGTGTAATAGAAGAACCACAGTGTAGAAATACTTAGTAAAGTAAAAGTACAGAAGTTTTAGCATCAAAATATACGTAAAGTATCCAAAGTAAAAGTACTAATTTAGCAGATTTCAGAACATTATATTATTGATCATAATTATTGATGCATTAATAAGTGAGGTGGGTCCACTACAAACTATAGATTATTAACTTCTTGTTAAAATAATAATCCATATGATGCATCCCTACTTGATTATATATTTTATTAATCTGAATCAGGATCAGAAATGAACAAGATGTCAAAGTATTTGTGTAAATTTAAACTAAAGTCAAATTAAACTTGCATATAAAACAGGAGCCACTAAACTTGGGTATTAAAGTGCTGTGACATTTCTCTCTAAACTCTTTCTTTTCAACAATTTGTTTTAAGTTACCAGCAGACATTTACACTGATGAGTACAGATATATCTGTGATAATAATATCAATACTAGGTTAGCACAATTCATTAACTGTACATCAAAAACTGTGGTGCTTTTGGTTCAGCTTTCAAATATTTGGAGCATAAATCTGATTTTCTACAGGAAGAAAACTCAAACACACTAACAAAACTCTTTCTTCACCTTTTGAAACATATCTAATATTTAAATGAACACTAAACTTTGATTTTCAAGATTAAGAATGAACTTTAAATCCTTGATTGTTTACTTTAATGGACCGGTTTCCCTTAGAAGTAATGAAGGAATGTAATGGTGAAGGAATCTTTATTCTGGAGGATAATTTATACTCTTTGATTGATTCCTTCTGGGACAAATATGAGGTTTGATTATTGGACCTTTGAATGCAAACTCCAGTTTCAGTACCAAGAGCGGTGCTGCTGCTGAGAGGTGTTAATGTTTAGAGCTCGCTCTGTTATGAAAGGCGCGCACACACACAGAAAGAAAGAGAGGGAACACACAAAGAGGCGACAGGCACAGGTTCAGGTGAGCAAAGAGTTTAGGTTTTATTAGAAGTTAAGAAAGACAAACTGTAAGATGCACAAACAGGACAGGACACGCAGAAGAGTATTAGCAGGAGCCGAGAACAAGAGACGAGGAGGAGACTATTTTAAATACCCAAATTTCCATCAAATGCAACATTGCTTGTTTACAGCAAACCCCTCCGCACCCTCCCGCCCATCCTGACATCTATATACAGATATACAGAAGGTCAACAGGCTGAATGCACGATGTTCAGGCTTCAGAGCGGCCAAAAAGCTCTTTTTTCCCTTCTAACACTTAGTGGGAAATGTCAAATTTATATCACAACTTTATCGTACAACCTCTATTCTGTCACACACACTTTAATTTAAACACATCGTGCATGAATCCTGCCACCTTTGAATGTGTCCTCTCGTTGACATCACAACACAGTCCGATATCAGTGCGAACAGGTGACACAGAGCGACAGACTAATGCACTAAAACTCTAATAGGATGCAGGAAACCCACAGAGCCACAATCAACGGTGCTCTCGATCATGCTGACGAGTTGCGCTGATGTTATTTACAGCATGTTAGAATCACTACGAGCTTTTTGAGTCACCACTAATGAGTTCAGATGGAAACGCTGAGTTAAACCGAGCGGAGGACGGACGGAAGAGATTCTTAACCTCCGCAGAAAGAAAGACGGAGAGGCGGGAGGATAAAGTTCAAAGCTTTTAACTCTGACCATTTCACACCTGGAGAGAATCTGTTCAAAGGTTGGAGTGACGAGTTCACCTCGATGTCAACAGGAATAATCACTTCTGTGTGAAAAATGTTGCCTTTTTTCAGTCCAATAAAGTTTTAGTAATAATATTCTGCCATATTTTTGATAACTCGAAGGAAAAACTATTAACTTTTTTCAGGAGGTTTTACTTAATACAGGACAGAACTTGCTTTCAAACGGTCATAAAAGTTGCGGTTTCGGGCAAACTGACAACATTAATTTGGCCACAGCCCATAATTAACAGTTCAGATCAAGCAGAACGTAGAATTAGTACAAATAACATCACTGTGCATGTTTTTAATCAACCAAGCAGCAAGAAATTTGATGGATATTTAGTCTTTTAAATTTGCGCAGGTATAATTTGACAACATGCTGTAATATTTGTATTCTTACTGGTTTTTATTCTCTTTTCTGTTTAAAATCTGTGTTTTAATCATACAGATTCATTCTGACATGTTTTTAACACGTTAATTAATTAATATTGTTCCATGCCGACATTTGACAGAAGAAACTGGAATTTTGGGGCATTTTTGCTTGAAAACGGCCCGATATGATTAATCGATTATCAACATGGTTGGAAATTAATCGACTTAATTTTAAGTTCTCCATAAAAGACATCGCTCTCTATTTTGCAGATTTCTGAAGTTAAAGACGGAAACAATCTAAAGCTGAAGCAACAGCCAAACTAGCTTTAAATAACGGTGCTTAAAGGTTCAGACTAAAAGGATTTTCTATACATTTTACTACTGGAGTGTTTCAAACTATTTCTGTGCTCAAATAGAAAAATATTTTAAAGCTTCTGAGATTAATTTTCTGTCTTTTTTTGGACCTTTATTTTACAGCGTCAAACTCCAAGAAAGCTACTAACTTTAAGCGAAGCAACAAGTATTATTCTGTTTATAACTGTTTGTCCAGAGTCCAGGTCAAAATGTTGAGAGTTAAGCTTTAAAGGACGGCTGAGAGAACAACGTAGGACGCAGAGATTTGGTTTACCGTCCCTCACGATCCTTCCACCGACCTTTTACACGAGTCTACAGCCAATATGAAAGTACAGTTTAAAGACACTGGAGAGTGACAGAAGTAGAGAAGCAGAGGTTAAAGGACAGCAGAAAGAACAAAGTTTAATGTTGCCATAAAGAAAACATCGCCCCAGTCCTCTCCCACCCACAGCAGATACACACAGTCGAAGCAGGAAGCACAACACAACAGGCTGTCTCCACATTTCACCCCCCCCAACCCGCTCCTTTTTTAAAGCAACATTATCGCTCCGGTTCCACCCGGCCCACCGCGAAGGATCCCACCAGAACCCAGAGGTGGTTGGTGGTGGTGGTGGTGGAGAAAGAGAGAGGAGGGGGGAGTCAAGAGCTGAAGAAAACCGCAAAGCTGAAGGGGGTTGAGGCGAGGTGAGGTGAGGCGTCCGTCATGCAGAAGACAAGTTTTTTAGAACCATTACAAGGCATCTGGAGTTATGCCTGCCGGTCAGACGGAGCAGGAAGAGAAAGAGAAAAGAGGGAAATAAAAGCAGTGAAAGAGAGACAGTGAGATGAGATATGGATAGACAGTTTGAAAGGAGCAAATTTAAGACGGAGGAGGAGAAGAGGAAACAGTAAACTGAAGAGACTGACGATGTTATCGAGGAGGATCAGACACAGTACTTCTCCACCAGCGTGTGCAGTACCGCCGGTCTACTTACTGGTTAGAAACTCTGATATACTGACAGGAACTAAATGTAGAAGGCAGCAGGTAAATGCTACCGTTTTGGTAACAAAAGTCAAATAAAGGAGGTAAGAAGACGTCGGTGGTGTGGTGAAGCAGTCCTGAATGGGACGAGGCTAAAATCTGACAAACACAGACTAAAGTCATCAACTGAACCATCCAATAAAGAGCCTTTACAGTCGTTAACACCAGGAATTAGACCAACGGGACGAGTGGACAAACCAACAATATCAGCTTCATCCAAAGTTAATCAGTAAATGTGAGTTTACAGCAGACTGAAGCTGTTCTCACTTATAAATATCATTTAGATTTACATTTTTTGCACCAAAAAAATTATAATTATGAAGAAAAACATTGCTGATATTCTAAAAATGAGGCCAGAAAGTGAACATTGTGTCTGTTCCAACCTACTTTAGTTACCCAGACTTTAGCTTCTCTAAGGCCATCAGCCATCTTTCCACAGTCCGGTCCAAACTGCCCGGGGGTCTCGCCCAAAACCAGCTGAAGAGGAACTGACTGATTGTGCAGAGGCAGGATGGAGGACGAGTTATTATCAGCTCTGTACAGACACAACTCACACCTCCTGCTTCAGAGGTGAAATTAAAACACATCTGACAAAAGGTCTCAAGTGACCGAATGAACCTCAACGTGTTAAAATAAGATGATACTTTAAGTTCTTGGCTAAATACTTTCTAATCAGACTGTGCTGTAACTCCCAGACTCTGCCACTAGGTGGAGGTTTTACACTGTTTACGATGATGGAGAGATCCTGTGTCTGTTCCTGGAACATTGTTAGAACATTTATATATAAAGTAGAAGGAGGTTAAACTTTGTTAGAGCACAGAATAAACAGAGAGGATGCAGGTCGGAGACACATGAGAGCAGCCAGACAGCCACCGAGCGTTTACTCTTATAATACTGTTAATATTCTCTATTTGTTGATGATTTCATATAAATACATATAGAACATGTCATTTATGTTGGTTGAAGGTATTTTATGGCTAAATAGGAACAAAGTAGGGTTGAAACTAATTAGTAGTATTTTGGTTATTGATCAATTTGCAGATTATTTTCTTAATGAATTGATAAATTGTTCGGATTAAAAACACAAACTTACTTATTAAAATTGCTTATTTTGGCTGACCAACAAGATATTTAATATATTATTATATTATATATATATAAGAATGGAGAAAGAAATATTAAATATCCACATCTGGAAGCAAGAAACTGTAAATTATTTGGCATTTTTGGTAAATTCTGTTTACCAAATTTTTTTGGTAAACAAAACTGATCGTTTGAGCTGTAAACTTTTGTCTGGATAAAACAATCAGTTGAATGCCTGAACAGTAAGGAACCTCCTGTAATAGACTACAGTGCTTTGGAAGCTGATTAAAGGAGCAAAGTGAATAATTAATAATTTTGCGTGTTTTAACAGTTTTCTAGGTTTTGTGAGTTCACTTCTGTTTCACTTTTAGCTCGCAGGCTTCCTCAATTAAACAATCCTTCCTTTCCTCTCTGGCTGCCGACATGCTGACAAAGCAAGCAAAAGGAGGGAATAAATAAAAAGGTCAGAAACATCACACGTTACATCGTCAGGCAGCAGCTCATCACACGAATGCAAAGGAGAGACATTTAAACACACAGAGCACAAACATCAACAAAGAAGGAGTACAGTACAGAGCCCATGTGGAGTCCGATGAACAGACTGATGAGTCACGGTGCTTCTCGGAGGACTCATTTATAGTAAATAATAAGTGGTTTCACACCTGGAGAGAGCTGAAGTGGAAGTTTATCTGACAGGTTGGAAGAAACATGTAGTCTGAACACTGCAGGGAGGCGGCGGAGGGAACAAACACCTATAGTCATGTTTTTATCCATCGAACGTGGCCAGAAGTTAATAATAATCTGTAATATTAGAAAACTACAATGTACAGTAATTTACATATTCATTATTCTATTAATTATACATACTCACTAATGCTAATCTATATATAAATATTCATTACACACACTGTATCTGCTGTGCCACTGTGATCTGAGTTTTTAGGAAACTGCAGTATTTGTTCATCATACAGCGTTCTAACTTTTAACTTTTTAAAGGTACATGTTTTTATTTACTTTATTTTGTTTCCTGCTCATATTTAGTTCTCTGGTTGTCTTCTTGTGCTGCTGTAATGTTAAACTTCTAAAACTGATCTCTGATATAATATTCACAGGAAATAATCTGCTGCATCACTTTTTACAGTTTACTGTTATTGTTATGCATTAAATATAATATAAAATATAATATAAAATATGTAATTTAGTCAGGGTTTGTCTGTTTGGTCAATGAGCCTTAAGGAAAAAGGGTGGGAACCACTGAAGGTAACAAAAACAACAATTCCTATATTCAGGTAATTATCCACTAATGAAAACTATAAATATTAGATTAGATTAGAGATAAATGTTACACACTGGACCTTAATTTGCTGTCGGTCATGATTTAAAGTTTGGTGTTGACTTTACGGTGACACATTTATTTACTGTTGGATGAAAAAGCCTCAGGAGCAAAACAAAAGCCCCACTGTTAAAATCGACTTCCAGCTGAAGCTCTTTCCAGAGAGGACGGGCTGAGGTATAAATAGGTCCAGAGATCAGCTGGTGAAGTGAGATTGTCTGCAGGAGGCTGTATGCTGATGACAGTGTGTATAGACACTGATGTCTCACAACCAGAGGTACAGGAGGAGATGCTGATTGGTTGTTCAGGGCGCTATGACTACTGTTGCTATGTGAGCAGGCCAGCTCTGAGCGGCAGCGGCAGCAGCAGCCTTTTAGAAATAAGATGGTGAGCAGCCTACAGAGACTCTACATGTTGTGCCACTGCAGTCACGGAGAGAAAATACTGCAGTTACTGTGAAATGTACCGGCGCAGTTAGAGACGAGGCTCTGCTGCTGCAGTTAGGTGTTAGGTGGGCGTTGTCGACATGTGTAACCAGAGGGGACTTTACTGCTGTGAAAGCAAGTTTTATTTTAAACCACTCAAGAGTTAGTTGGGGAAAAAGCTCTACAGGAAGAAAGTTTAGTGGGAAAGAGTGTTTCTTAAGAGCAAAGCACTATGTAAATGTAGAAAAACACTACGACTGAAGCAACCTACTGTCAGAGGTCCAGTCAAGTGAGCGTCTCAGCAGCTTCTCACTTGGTCTTATTAATCAAAGTGGGTGTAACAGTGAAGTACAAGCAACCACTACTGTAGTAACTCTGACAGTCAATCAGCATTATCAGTGTAGCACAGTAGAAAGTGATCTCAGTAGACGTGTCGAGGGCTGTGTACTGTACTTACCCCGTTCCACTCCACGCTCATACTCACTTCCTCGCCACCGTCCGGCCCGCTCTCGTACTTCACCGTGTCGGAGGTCAAGCTCTCGCGGCTTCGCTGCTTCTCGCGGGCCTCCGGCTCGCTCAGGACCTCCGCCACGCGCTGCTTATGCACAGTGTCCAGACCCTGTTCTCACACACACACCCCTACACACACACACACACACACGGCAGAAATAAATGTCAATTCAACTAATCCAATTAAAGCAAAAAGCTGAGCACCTCCTGCAGCTTGTCACACGTACAGCTGACAGCAACAAGTACCAATTCTTCCAATCCAATTAATATTAAAGCTATAGACTTCTACCATCTGCTGCACTGAACACAGGCGCTGACAGACACACACTCTTACATTATGACTCATAGGAACTCACTTAAAACTTTCTTTATAATTGCACTAGTGAACAGAAACCTGTTGGTTCCTGCTGCAGAGGATGTTAACTCTTAAATACCACCACTCTGCACTCTGGTATAAAACTCTTTTTTTAATAAGAGATGTTTAAAAGCAAAAACTTGATATTAATTAGTGTCCGATATTAATGGTTTTCCCTCCTTGGAAAATTCACACTTTATTGAATTTAGATTTAAGGTGAGTTCAGAGAAACGGATGTGAAAACAACCTTCTAGTGTCAAACTCTGCACTTATAGTGACAAGTGACATAACAATAAGTAGTGGTAGATCTAATAAAAATGCTTATCTGAAAGCAAATTCAGTGAGATTTGTCTTGTTGGTAAAGTAACGCAGCCTCTGGCATAATTAAACCGATGGACCGATGATACTGTTACACCACAGCGCAGACGGATGCAAAGACTGTTTCCTGTGACTCCGTCTGAGGAATTAATTATTCAAGAGGGGAAAAACAAACCAACAGCACAACAGACTGTTGATGTTATCAGAGTCTAAATGAGTTTTATCTTTATTAATGTGATCTCCCTGGATTGAATGTATTCAATCTTTAATAGGCAATTTAACTCTGGGCAGGACATGAGATTGTTTCCAATGTCAAACTCTACTTATAACATCAGAACTTTTCCTCTTACAAAGTGCATTAATGTTTGTAAAAGCTATTTACTTACACTCCTTCCCAATAACCACACTTCTTCACACTTGCTACTTAATTTAAATGTAGAGAAAATGTCCAGCAATTTGTGCAAATCTATAAACCTCCTCAGCAGTGCAGCCCAACATATTGACTTGATTTAAATAAAAGAGCTTTCAATAAAGGCATTTTGAATGTGATTAATTACCCAAACTCTCCACAGCTGTAACACACAGTGGCGCCACAGGAATCCAGTTTAAATAGTATCATGTGTTACTTCCCAAGCGAGAGATACTTAACATTAAATCCTGGAAGGAAATCCTAATTCAGAATCAAAGCTGCAGGGTTTCTCCACTGCTCCTCTCCACAGGGGACCCCGTTACGTCTCATAACACTATCAGAGGCACTTTAAAAAGATCCGACCCGCCATCCCAAGTGTATCATCTCCTCCCTCATTTTACACTGAATTGTACACGTTCAGCCTGTTAGTCTGCCGTAATGAATAAAGAATTGGTAACGAGAGCGACGTCTTAACCCCGGCTAGGAATCTCGTTATCAGTCACACCATCACCACACCTGCTTTCTGGAACGCATGGCAGCTTCCTCCAGAGTCTCAGCCGCCTCGAACTTGCCCTGCCGCCTGTAGAGGGCGCCCAGGTTCTTCAGGGTGGTGGTCACTGTTGGGCTGCAAAGACAAGGAGGAGCAATATTTAGATTCATTTAGAGATTCATTTATACTATTTCACATTTACTAAACAAGTGATTAATACCTACATTTGAATAAGCTGTTTTGGTCTTTAGATATAAAAGCAAGGCAACAGAGACTTGATCTAAACTGCACATATAGTGACAGTAAATAAAATCCTTAATACATGAATGATTAAACACAAAGAGGGAAGCTTCTATATCAGGATTCAGACCAGCTGCTTTTGTGAATGATATTTTGTTTGTACAAACCACAATAACTTAATAAAAGGGGAATACAAACATATATGCATTTATATATTTACATGTAAGCACGTGTAACCATGGCAGACAGAAATGATTTTATACATGTAAGTTCAAACTAAACAGAAGTGGGTCAATCTGGGCTCAACAGATGATCAACAAGAAAGGAACCAGAAAAAAATCATTTCTGCTGCACAAAGTTATGTTTTTCAGACTTTTCTCCAAGTTAAGTTTTGATAGCAATTTATACAGGGCTCAAAAGTACTTTACTTTAACTTATCTCCGGAAACGCTGATCTGAGCAGCCTTAGTTGTTTCACAGGACACAAAGGTTTGGCAACATTTGGTCTAGAAGAACAGCTTTTTTGGTAAACCATACAGTGAACAGTGCTGTATGTGTGCTTTAATCCTTTAGGTAAATCTGTGGTAAGACAACATTTAAATAAATTTTGTTACTCTTTTGTTTCCTGCTGCTGCTGGGAGCATCGCCCACTCAAACAAACTGACCTGTCGACTTTACAGGCTTTGTACCAGCCTCCGTATTCTCCAAACGGTGAGCCGTCCTTCTGCTTCCCCTACAAGACAAAAACTTCATGAGTTTACAACAAAAACTGCTTCAGGGAATCTACATGGACTTACATGAAAGTGCGGACAAGAAGCACAGACCCTTGATCTCAAAATGTGAAGTGACGCATGAGTTAAAGGATGAAAATTAACCCTTTTGAAAACTGGAGGCCTTTTTAATACCATCAAAGATACCATGAAGGGGTATTTAGTGGTGGGATTATATGGGGTCAGGATTCATTCCCTGAACAACTAAACCTTTTAAACCACGACGAAAATAAACGCCTAGTAGGGAAAAGTCGGGTACTCACACCACCAGCATTAGATGGTTATTATTGAGCCTTAATCTGCTAATCCAACTCTTTGTGGAGTCAATCCTTCTTATTCCATCTTAAATAAGATCATAAAACTGTCACAGTAGTGTAATGCTGCTGTCAGTACTCTGTCATCTGTGTGTGAGTGATTTGGTGTTTATAGATGTCAAATTTAAATGTGGTTATTAACTAATGGATGTCAGTTACATGTGATTTTGTGGCACAAACTTTAAAATTGTGAACAGAATAAACTATCCCACTAATTACTAGAATTATACCCAGACTGACAAATAGACAAACAACAAATATCAACAGATTTCTCTCACCTTGCTTTGTTCCTCTCTCTCCTCAGCGTGCATCCATATTGGTTTGTTCTCATCTGCAGACAAACACACGTGAAAGGGAAGAAGTCAAACATTCACTCAGATAAACAGCAGGAGAGAAGTTTGAGGAAGTCTCTGGTTCTGAAGAAGTGTGGCTGAAAGTTCGTGTTTGTTTACAGCTACCGAGATGTTGACAGCCGACTGAAAACATTAACCTTTACATTAGAGGAAGAGAAACAGCAGGGGTTGTCGGAGGAGTACAGATTTGTTTGTGTGCATTTGATTTATTTGAAGTCAATTATTTGAGAGGATATTCGGCTGAAATGTCCAAAATGTATGTTTGTGTTTATCATCCAGTCACATGTCGTACCGTCAACAGAGCCGAACTCCCTCTCATGAGCTCTGGTGAGGATTTCTTTATACAGAGTTTCAGCCTGCTTGAACTTGCCCTGTTTCAGGTAACAGGACGCCTGAAGAACACACAGAACCAAACGTTAAGTAACAATTGCAGCAAACAAGATGCTGAAAGAAACTTAAAATCACAAAAAATAATAATAGTAATCAAAACAGGAGCGAAAAATAACAAAGATTAGTATTTCAGACAAATATAAAACAGTTGTTTCTTATATAAATATAATATATAATTCAGATTCATAGCTGCCAAGTCACAACAGCATTTAAAACAACACATTTTATTTAAAAATCCTTTTATTTTGAAATATAGTATTTCCTCCACCCCTCTCACCAGGTTGTTCTTGGTCTTGGCCACGTTGGGGTCGTCGGGGCCCAGTTTGGTCTGGTAGATCTCCAGCGCTCTCATGTAGTAGTATTCCACCTCTTCGTACTTGCCCTGGTTCTGACACAGCAGAGCCAGGTTGTTCAGCTGCTTGGCCACATCTGGGTGGTCCTTCCCCAGCACCTGGGACGGAAGCAAGTGGACAGCGGGGGTTAAAACAACGGTCATTACATCAAACAAAACCAGTTTTAGACAACAACCTGCGTCTTAACTGGGCCATTTGGTCGACAGCTCGTATACAGAGTGAGAAACTACCAGCAGCCTGTAACCAGGAGCTGGACGATCTCTTTCTGTAGCACGAAGCAGTTTCTCTCAACTGCAAAAAATCTAAATTTTGTGTGTAAAACTGGTATTTGCTAGTAACTGGTCAGTAATTATTTCTCCTTCATTCTCTGAATTCTCAGCACAACCTTCAGGTTCGAATGTGTAACCCAGTTTTAATCTTTATGTCTAGTTTTGTAATTTTGGATTTTCTGGAAGACAAAATGTTTCATCTCTTGCCAGGTTGTGTTGACCTTTACACTGCTGGCTACAGTTTGTAATGTTGAACTCTAGCCTCTAAAATTAGAATACATTTTTTTCCCAATATACACGTAACGCATGTTATTTCAGGCCCATAAATCAGGGCCACCATATTGGGAATAAAATCTGTAACTGGTGTTACAGATACACACTAACATACAGAGGTGTCTCCTAGGTTTAGACCGATGCCAGATCGGTTATTGACCTGCTTGATTAAATAAAAGCAGAGTACAGTGGACAAACAAATCAGTGCAGCCACAAACAGCATGTATCAGAGAATATTATCGCGTGTGCACAGAGCAAAAAGAAGCACGAATCTTTAAAAGTGGATGTGTTTGCATTAATGTGGCTATGAGAGCGGTGTAAGCTCTTCTTGTGTGCTGAGAAGGCTTAAAGCCATTAGAAGTGAGTGCAGCAAGCGTGAAAGAGATGCAGAAGGATCATTAGAGACTAGGTGGGTAGACCTAGAAAACTGCAGAGAGGGTTTCTTCTGAGTCGTACTGACCAGTAAAGAGAGGGAGATCAGAGAGAATGGAAAATACAGAACAGAGAGGGAAAGAAGAGAAGACAGGCTGACTTTGGAAAGTTAATCGCTAGGAAGGAAATAGAGACTCAAAGTGGATAAGGATGAAGGAAAAAAAGGGGATAAAGTCAGAGAAAGCTAGTACTCTGGCTGCTCATTGAGAAAGCACTTTATTAAAAACACTGGATGTGAATAGTTGGAGGACGGAGGAGAAACTGAGGAAGAAAAGCACTGGGTGAAAAGTTAAAGAGAGAAAAGGCAAAGCAAGTAGTTTGTTTGTCCTTTGGGGGATTTCTGGCTTTAGATTATTGCAATAAAAGTCTGTAGGTGGTCTGGGATCAAACCCCTCCTGAGCGTTACAGGATCATCTTCCTCCCTGCTGGAGACCGACAGCCTCTCGGTGTCTTGTGATTTACAGGACGGCGCAGAGCTATCCGAGCGGTGCCACCTACAGTATTCACTCGGCCCCGGCCTCCCACGCCTCCTCCTCCGCAGCACAACACATCTGACAGCTTTCCTGTAAACATCGTTAGCTGGAAAAGGATTGCCATAAGCCACACGCACAGGCAAAGACTGTGGGTCGCGGAGGAATTGATCGTGTTTATTGATGGATGCCGAGCCTCCAAATACCAAAAGTGCTGCACTGGTTTCTGGGAAGCTTTTAGAAACACTATCTTCATCTAAAATAAAGCTGAAGAGCTTCTACTTACACGGCTGAATACACATTTTACCCAAATATTTACTGAATATGGGAATTTTGTGAGAAATTCAGGAATTTGTTTTAATCTATCCGAGACAGACGGACATATTTGAACAAAGACGCAGCTAGCAGCAGGTAGTGCTTCAGTTTGTTGCTCAAGGACATTTGGGCAGAAAATAAAGCTTGTTGTTGTTTTAGGACAGTCGGGTTTTCTGCTCCATTAAGCACCGACTTGATTAAATGCCTGTTTACTGCTTTGAGAGAAACTTTAAAGCACTGCTCAAAAGGACAACAGCTGAAGTCTTTGAGACATCCCAGTGGAGCTGTCGGTTTTCATTACTTTGTTTCATTTAAAGGATGAAAAGGCGCTATTATTTAATCTTCCCTTCACTGGCTTCAATTTTAGTCTGACTTTTAAGTAGGGCTGCACAATTAATCGTAATATTATCACAATACGGCCGAGTTCAGGTATGCACAGTCACAATGTCTGCTAATGTTTTAATAGAAAGTAAAAATAAAAAAAAAATAAAACAGCTGAATAATGAAGTACTGTGGTTCTGCAGAGCTGCCCTGGTCTTCAAATCTTGTTCTCCAGATTTAAGAAAACATGTTTGTTTGCTACACATTTCACATCATCTTGATTTTAATCTTTTCTTTTTAAGTTAAAATTCAGTTGATGATGCACAAAAGTAAGGCATCGAGCTACATGGCTGTGTTTCTAACTCATTACAGGTCCTCTGATCAGGCTCTGTTGGATACTCTGATGAACAAGAGTGACAGAGCTTTTGCTTTAGCCACCATCATGATATTAGACTAGAACATTTTTTATAGGGTTTATCAGTTCAGTTCATGAGTACTTTTTAACTGTTTTATTTATATTTATTGTCGGTGACTTTGTACTTCAGTAATCTCCTGCTTGGTTCCATTTGTCCTGGTCTTGTGAAGCACTTTGTAACGGTAGTTTAGAAAGGTGCTATATACATAAAGTTATTATTATAATGAAAGAAACAAACCCAATGAGCATTGGTCCGTGTCGCAATACTGTGGCACTCAGCCCAAAGCACATTGGTTCCTACTGAGGACATAAATCCTTACGAACAGGTCAATAATTTAATTTTTTTAAAAGGCTCAGTAATAATTCCTGCAGTCAGACATCGAGCACACGTGCGATTGATTCAAAACAAGCCACCAAATCACTAGAGATATCCTTTAATAGAGCGTTTAGCAGCACTATAGTTTGAAACATTTGGCAACTAATATGGCAACAAAGGTCCGTACTTAAAGCTACTTTATTTAATCACTCAAATCAGCACAGAATCATCTTGTATGAAGACAAAAAACTCCTCTCAATATAAACTGAATAGTCAAAAACTTCTATACCAGTTTAAAGCCTCACCTCCCATTGTCCCTGGTGCAGACCAAACTCACTTACAAACTGAGCTTTCCTGAACTTCTATAAAAAAGGAAAAACCACTCTGCAGCGACCCGCCTGTGCAGTAAAAACTGCAGCTTAAGTGACGGCATTATCATTCGAGTTTAAGCAGCACCAAAAAAAAAAAAAGAAAATGAAATCGCTCAGCTTAACCAAAGCTGACGCTTCATTCTCAGAGGAGTTGAGAAGAAGGAGGTTTTGTTCACAGACAAGAGCTGAGACACACACACACACAGAATAGTGTCTTCCGTACTTTCAGGACTGCTGAGCAGCACCTTTGTAAGCACCGAACTAGAGGTCAGACACATAATGACGTCGTCCCTGCGTATACATGCAGTCCCACGATAACATCTTTAAACAGTACAAAGCGAAGTGAACAGGAGGAGGAAGAATGAGTCAACTAATGTGACGATTTAGAAAGTAAGAACATGAGTTCAGAAACGCAGTATTTACTCTTTCTGGTGCGTTTAGTCCGACACAATACAAATTAAGAAATGAAAAACATTTTAGCAGCAGTGACTGTGTGTTTTTAAGTTGTGTGACTGGGGATGAGAGTGATTCTACTAAAGAGTTTGGAGAGCGGTGTCTTTATTTTTTTTCTTTACAAAACCAAAAACACAAGAAAAAGTCGAAGAAATTGATTAAACCGAGTGCTTTCCTGCTCTAATGCGAGCTGCAACCGGACTGAAATGGACAGCTAAACAAGCCGTAGCAACAGTAACTAAAGGAGGCAGGACTTCAACTGTTAATTAGGGTTCCTAAATATTTCACCTAATGTTAGTATTTCGTCTGGTGGAAGGTGTTTGTCCTTTATTCTCCTGCCTTTAAATCCAGTGACTTATAGGAACCATCTTGAGTAAAATCCTCAGTTTAGAGTTTGACTTTCTAAGTAGGACACAGAGTTTGACTGAAACTTTAGTTTGAAAGTGAAAGTTTTAAGTCTGGTGAAGAAGACAAAAGGTCATCAGTTGCTGTGGAGTACAAGTAGAAACAGCTTAGTGTTGCTGCTCTCCTATTATTTGTCGAACTACTCCTGAATCTGTTCTGTCACGGTGTTTGATGACCTTTGACCCACCTTTTCTCTGATCTCCAGCGCTCTCTTGCACAGAGGCTCTGCTTCCTTGTACTTTCCTCTCTTCCCATACAGGACAGCCAGGTTATTGAGGGTGGCAGCGACCTGACAGAGACACAAAGACATGAATTATTTCAAAATATATGACGAGTCTCAATCACCTTCACCCATGTGCAACCGCAAGACTCCACCACAGCAGCACAGTGCCATTGATCTGGTGAGAGGGCAATTAATGAGGAGGCAGAAGGCGTGCGGAAACAGGAAGTGATTCTGGTGGGTTTGTAATTTGATCCCGATCAGTTGGATGATGAATCTCCAACACGTGCACTCAGGAGGAAGGAGACTACAGAGGTGCCTGGAGGTCACCTCTGATCTCTGATTCAGACAGCGTCTGGTGGCCATGTGGACAGAGTGGGAGGAAAGGAGGGAGAGTAGAGGGGTGAGGTGGCTGGAGGAGGGGTGTTCATTCAGAGAGGGGAGCAGTGATAGAAAGGAGGGAGTCTAAGGAATACAATTACAAAAGTCTTTTTCCAGAACTTTATTGTTTGATTTGATTTTCTGTTCGGTAGGATTTATGTGGATCCTCACTTTCCCTTCATAGTCTATAAGAAAACACTCTAAAAGAGGAAGATTGTTCTTTACAGCCTCAAATATAAAAATATCAGAGACAATAACGATCTCGCTGTTTCATGAGCCCAAGACATACGGCCACAGATCAGCTCATAGTCGATGGTTGATCTTCAGCCTGAGGTGCAAAAACACTTCACTATTTCTCAACCAGAAATCTACAGTCCCCTAATTGTCCCTGATTTTTGGGATAAATATTTATATGTAGATATAAATAAAGATATAAATAAATGTGTCCATCAAAATCCACACCAATCACTCATATCAAAATTATCATTATCCAATTTCAAAAGGCATTTCCTGTGCCTTAGCTTCACGGTCAAACAAGCCTGGTTCTGAGGCCACATCTGGTTTGTACCGGCTACTTATTGTGAGCAGCACGTCATCAGCAGCAGCCTCGGCCCTCCGGCAGAGTCACGCTGTACCTGTTCAGCCAGTAAAAGGACTGCTGTGAATGTTAACAGCCCGAGATGCAATCAGTATATCTGAGGACATGTTTGGTCACAGTTCTGCATGTAAAGCCTGAGTAATTAAAGGTCTCGTTAACAGGATTATACTGAAGTATTATCTGTTCTGTTCATTAGTACTCATAAATAACTGAGAGAGAGAGTGAACTACTTAATGCTTGAAAGGGCTGATCCAGATCAGACAGGCCGTTCCTTCAAGTCGCCCTCCTCCAGGTTTCCCTGTCATTCACCAGAGACCCCCCTTGGAGACTCAAGAGCCGGATACCTCAAAGTGCTCTTCGATGCGTGGGCAGAAACCACAATCAGAGGCTTCTGGTCTCTGAACCTGTTGGTCTCTTGGGGCAGAGCTTCGACACAGCGGCAATCAGCTGGGGGCTCTTAACTGTTTCCAAACGTCCTCTCTTCTTTAGCCTGTCCACCCAAATCACCTGGAACCTTTAGTCCAAGGAACAACTTTCCAAAGGACTAAAAGGTTCCTAAACCCAGCAGAGATGAACACAAATCAGTCCGATGTTTTGCCCACGACTATACAACAACTTTACCGCCGGTTCATCTGTCGCTGGCCCTCTTCTGTAGCTCCATGTTTACATGTCTGGTAAACTTTTGTAAAATACTACCCCACCCCTGGAGGAGGAACTCTTTGAGGGGTAAAACAATGTCCTTAAACTTAATTTAGACCCTGGTCCCTGCGGTGGAAACACACCGAGTTCCTCCAAAGGTTTCTAGCACCCGAGGAAAGTTTCTGCAGCGGAAATGCGCCTTAAGATAAGTTTACGGGTGCGTCCAACCACTCCACCTTTCACACTAGCTTCAGCTCCTTCCCAACCAGAGAGGTGACAAAGCACAATCCACAAGAGCCGGTTTTCATGTCCAGGAGTCACAATACCAAAGCCCAGCCTTCACCTGCCACCCAACTGGCAACGCTCCAGACCACCCAATCAGCTATTCTGTGGAGACGATGAACGTGTGTTGGAACACGCATAACCAGCGATGTAGAAAGTCCAGCAAGTTCAAACCTGAATTCAAGAATTTCAGATAATGTTTCTCAATGAATAGCGGGCTCTCATGAATTTGGAACCAGTTCAAATTTAGGATCGTTTCTCATTCCCGAACATTTAAGACGTAGAGAAGAGAAAAGCAAGTGGAAAAGATCGAGAGATTAAGGAAAACAGGAAGAAGAGATCAAAAGGCAAAGAGTTGGATTTAAAGTGACAAATATGGTGAGGAAGGAAAACAAATCTGGATCATCAGTGTCAGATAACTTATTGGATATATACTGTTGCCAAAAACTCTGATTTTCTGATGACAAATCACTGAAAACAATCACTTCCTTGTGTAAAAGAAGGATCAGGGCCTGGTGGCAGGATGAGAGGAGGGAGGAGTGGGGAGGGCTAACCTCAGTTTCACAAAGTGGAGAGTGATGGAGGTCCAGACAGTGGAGACAGAGGCCTGCTGGGGTTAACACAGTTAGTGGACCTGACAAACAGAGGTTAATGGGTTCGAGCACAGGCCCCATTTATTAAATCTACTGTGATCGTCCTCGGCCACAGAAACAATCTTGGATAAATACATTAGAGGTGTTTAGAGAGAGAGAAGTGTCCTTTAAATATAAAACAGCAGGAGGACTGCACACAGAGACTTTACAGTGTCATGTTCGACCGTCTTCCACTGATAAAAGCTTTAAAACTTTATGTCGGCAGTTCAGAAGTTGTTGTTTCGTTCTTAAATTTAATAGGATGTTAAATCATATTCAAAAATGTTGAAATGAAACTTCCTTTGGCGCCTTTAGTACCTTAAAATTATTACATAGATCCTCTTTGTAAGAACTTGATTAATGTAGACTAATGCCTTAATCAACCATATTTTCAGACTGTAAACCAGTTAAAGTCTGTTATTTAGAAAGGCTTAAGGGGTTTTTCAATCTTGATTAAAAGATTACACTTTTATAAAACACTTTTTTCTAGGAGTAAATTGCATCTAAGAGACCAATAAACTCACTGAGCTCTTTAATAATGATAAATGTCCCAAAACTGTAATTCAAACACTACTTTGCCTGCACTGTTATTATGGCTGTCTGTGTTGTTATATGTGTAACAGCAAGGGGAGCATGGCAAAAAAAACATTTTAATGAATTTTATTGATCCCTGAGGGGGAAACTGGGACAGTAGCCAAAAACAGGTGTAGAGCAAAGAGTAAAGGGCAACAACTGTGAGAGAAATACAAAATAAAATGATGGTGGCTCAGTCTAACAACGTAAAGAACTCTTATTTTCTTTTTCCATTAACTGAACTAACTCAGGTTGTGTGTTTATTACACTACAGCCAGGGATCCTAGCTAAAATATTGTGTTTCTTGTCTCAAATCAAATGTATTTATGGGCATTAATGTGAGTCTTTATACTCGTTTGACTGTACCTGGACTGGACTAATAGATGTTGCTTGTATAATATATGTTGTTTGTATATCTGGAGTTTATTATTAAAGTATTTCTGATTCTGAAAGAAGTACTCACAGCTGGATGGTCCCTGCCCAGAGTCTTCTCCCTGATGGCCAGAGCATCATTCAGCAGGTTGGCTGCCTCCTTATATTTGTTCTGATCCCTGACAGACAGACGCAAACAGAGTCAGACAGAAACACACAGACTCAGACGGACAGAATAAAACAAAGGAAAGAAACATAAACTATGCTAACGATTCCCACCAACAGCTCATTATTTTCAGGTGACACGGTCCGCAGAGCTTTGCAGCAGTTCCCACAGTCAATGCAACAGTCCGCTGACAGCAAGTCGACCCAGTCTCTCTCTCATTCCTTCAGAGCAACCAAACCAAAACACTGCACCCACTATTCAATGGATTAAGATTTGTGGAGGTAAAAAACATTGGAGCCCTTGTAAAAAAGGTCTCCAGCTCCTGTGTGTCCTTCTTTTGTTCGTTTCTTCTTGAGCTGGGAAATTAACGCTTCCCGAGTTCTATTACTGTACTGTAAATCTTTGGCTGTGTCTCCTATGTTTGCTGTGCTCCACTTCTGACGTAGAAAGGCATTCGAGTATCATTTGGAGGTCCTGTCACACAATGCTTTCTGGGTTGTTAGGTAAAATCTCAAGGGATGTGCCTCGTTGTTGTGAGGGTGAATAAAACACAACACGCCACAGCCATTATCACGTCTTTCTCTCTCTGAAAAAGAGAGATTGTAGGATCTAAATATATTAAAAAGCAGTCACTAAGAAGCTTCATTCTGAAATCCTGGGAGGGCTTGTAAAATAGTCCGCGGCCGGGACTTTAAGGATTTACAAGCTACTGAAGACTTTTGTTTTTCTGGTGCTTCCAGTGTGATGTAAGAAACAGGAGTGTTTGCAGCAAAGTGAATATTAGTCCTAACGCTGACTGCAGTTGTACATGTTTAATATGATATCTAACGTCATGGAAACATTATTTGATATATGCACCATACTGCACATTAAACATCTATTACATAGGCCACTTTGGGCCCTACTTTAGGACCCACTATTATAATAGACCAACCTGTAAACAAGTGCTAGGATATTGAGCATGGTGGCCACGTCTGGGTGGTCATGTCCAGAAGTCTTCTCCAGGTCTTCCAGGGCCTGTTTGCAGAGGGGCACAGCCACCTCGTACCTGCCCTGGGAGGCGTACTGGATCACCAGGTTGTGGAGGGTCCTCAGGCGGGCCGGGATCTCATATCCTCCCTGCTGGGCAGCAGCTGCTGCGGCACTGGCGTGAGTCGGCTGGACTGGAGACACGTGGAGGAAAGAGAAAGTGGGAAAATATTACACATCAGGACACGCACATCTCTGCTTCTGATTATTTCATTAACTTTAAACTGCATTTGGGAAATTACTGAGAAGGGAAAGAACATTTGAGCCATCTAGAATTTATTTCTTATTCTCTGAAACTGAATTGTTCCAAAGGATAAGAAATAACAGAGTCAGTATTATGTTACAACTGGTGAGTACGGATCAATAATAGTTTTGGTAATACAATAAGCCGCAGTACTGCATTGTATTAGGCCAACAACTAACAATCATTGTCAATATCAACTGCTGATTATTTTTTCCAATAACAAATAAATAATAGATTGTTTTTGAAAAATAACCAGGATGAGAACTTTAACAGGCTTATTTTCCGACTATCTGCCCCCAAAAATATAAAAACTATACAATTTTCTAATTTTCAAATCCTCATGACTTCAAAATAAGTCAAAATAGTTGTTACCAATTAACTGTTTCTGCTCCACTATAACTAGCTTTTTAATAAGAATGTGATGCATTCTCTAATTATAGCTTAATTTAGTAGTTTTTCTATGAAATGATCTTGAAAAGATGCTAAACACGCCTCCATACTGTTTTAAATAAAGCAGGTTATATATTTGGACTTTGTGTTTGAATATGAGTCAACTCAGTCTTTGTTTCAGATGTCACCGGCTCTCTGCAGCTAAAACCACAACAAACAAACACTGTGAGAAACAAACCTACAAACAAGATTATTCATAAACAATGTCCTCATTCTGCTACGACGCTCAGCAAATGTGTTGTGTGCCACGTTTAAATGGAGTCAGGGGGACATGAGTGTGTGTGTGTGACTGTGTGTGTGTGTCTGTGTGTGTCTGTGTGAGACTGTGTGTGTGTGACTGTGTGTGTGTGTGTGTCTGTGTGTGTGTGTGTCTGTCTGTGTGTGTGTCTGTGTCTGTGTCTGTCTGTGTGTGTGTGTGTCTGTGTGTGTTGGCAAACCCCCCATCACCGTCTCCCCCACAGTTGCTTTGCAGCTCTGGTTAACAGCGAGGAAGCCTGTTCTGGGAGTTCTGGTCGTTCAACATGCCTTTGCCACACCCCTGTGGTCCATTCAGTGTGCAGCCACAGCAAACACACACACACACACACACACACACACTCACAGACTATAATGATTTCTTGCTGCATGTGCCTTCTGCTGGATGAAATACACCGGGGGGTCAAGACACCAGGAAGAGCACAAAGTGAGTCTACAGAAAACACGTCACCGTGAGCTGAGAGCAAAGTGGGGACAGAGATGAACAGGTACACATGTGTTTCTTCATGAGTCATATGAAGTTCAAACACAACACAAGTTCACCACTTATCAACATTTACTACCTTCTGGTTACATATTACAATGTACAGTGCATTAGCACACAATCCCTGTTAAACACATGTTCTTTAGTGCTATATTATGAGACTGTCACTTATTAACATATATGCTATTGTAATTATGGTTCAAAACCATGACAGTAGACGTTAACAAATTATGTGAATGCAATATTGATGATGTGTGATGCAGTGTTTCAATATTTGGCCCAAATAATTAAATAGTAAAAGAGTAGGGCAGGGTACTTTTTTTTATCAATACTGATACCAGATTCTTGTTTTTGATACTAATTTGATAAAATTAATTTTAACAAAAGCAAATTACATAACAAATTACGGTATAATTACTTAATTGAAAGAAGGGATATTAGACTAGGCTATATAAAAATATAAATACGCGTAAAAAGGAACATTAATAACAAACAGTAATGGCAGTGGCCTTTGTAACTAAGTGAATGACTGTTTGTGGTAAATAGTGGCAGAGTGAGACCTCTTACTCTCTGTAGAGCAGCTCACCCGGTGTATTGCTCTCCGTTTACCGTCGGTCTGTAAGCAACACCGCGTTTACCGTCAGAAACGCTCTCCGCCTCCGCTGCAGGTCGTCCATCCCCGCGGTGGCGAGGAGCGGATCAACTCAGCTGCACCGGGTCGTTTAACGAGCAGCGCCCAGCTCTGTGCAGATAAACAGCTCGCTTAAATAAACGAGTCTCTCTGTGCGTAAACGTACTGTTTTTTATACGACGTGTAACGTTAGACAGCCTGCTGCGTGCTTACTGCTGCACTGGCGATAAAGAGATTTACCCCTTGTGTAACTAAATCTGGTACAGAGTGACAAGGCATTTTTCGATTTACGATAATATCGAAGCAATTCCTCAAAAGTATTGAAGTTCAGTACCAAGAGAAGATTTTAGGAGATGAGGAAAGTTTCCACTGATTTTCACCTGCGATGTACCAGATTTTTTTTTTCTCAGCTAAAATATCTATAATATGTGATTTTCGAGACAAAGCAGTGCCGCTCTTTTTTTCCTGTAATTTAATCTTTCAATTATTAATAATTTGGTTTAATAGCATTACTGTGCATCAACGCTTTTTTTGGTTGGTAAATTTAAATCCACCCATGGATCCTCTAAAGTGAATATAATCAATATTTTAATATAAATTATGGATCACATAGCTATATGAAAGGGGTCACTCATAGTGGTGAACCCACTCAGAATTAACATACATTCAGCTCTGCGGAGCATTTAAGGACCTTTTAGCTCATTGTTTTGGTTTTTCTGGCAGGCAGCTGTTTTCACCTAAAAAGCTCTAAAAGAAAACAGTGTACATTGTTTGTCCAGACTGACAAAATTAGCGATTATTGAACATAGTGGAGCATTTAGCAACTAAAGATCCATAAATTTCCTTCAGGAGTGGGTGGAGACCAAAAATAGAGTTAAAAAAAGTGAATAAAGAATTCTGCTTCAAAGCAGGGCTGGCCAAAGAAGGGCCTGCGGGTGAAAGCTGGTTCAATTTGGCCCACCAGATGTTTCTAGTAAAAGAAAATAAAAAATATTAAATATAGAATATAAATCATTGTTTATGCTGTTTTAGTTTTTGTGAGGTAAACATATAGGATCCCTAATTAATTATTTTTCATAACCTGAGCACGACAGGCCTTGTACAATGTTGAACCTTAACAATACAGTAGATATTACATTAGGTTTATACATTTTGGTACTTCTGCTTTAAATTGGCCCTATTTTTGTTTTGTAGAAAAAAGCCATGCAGTAACTACAGTATTATGGTGAGTCTTGACATAACTTTCATCGTGGAATGAACTTACCAAAACTAAAACACTTCATGCTATTGTTTTCCATGCAGGTTTGTGATTGCAGCCTTAGATATTTGCAGAGGTGCAGCTTCAGCTAAAGTTAGCTCAAACTCCAGTGGAAACAAACACACCTACGCAGCAGAAGTGCAGCAGCAGAGGACAACATCCTTCAACCAGCAGACCCAGATTCAACTATATCCATGTCAGCCAGAATCCACCACGCTGAAGTGTCCTTGAGCAAGATACTGAATCCCTACCAGCTCTGCCACCGCCGTAACTGACCCTGCAGTCTGATCTGCCAGCAGCTGAGAAAAGGTGAATTTCTCAATGGGGATCAAATATCACATTATTATTACAGTATGCTACTTACAAGCCATCTACATCTTCTTCCTTCAATCCCACACCACTGAAAGTCATATCTCAGTATCACTAGAGCAGGATGTGTGTGTGTGTGTGT